GATGCCAAACCAGCATGTCTCTGAGAACCCCCGTTCTTTTCCCCCTCAGTCATGGTCAGCCACTTTCTGGCTAAGTCACCCCTAACAACCGCGCTCCTATGTCTGTAGTATTTATAGGTTGACAGCTGGGGAATCTAAGAGCTCCCTTTTCTTCTGTCTGAAGGCAGACAGAAAATGACCCATTTAAATTTTCTGTGCCCTGCCCAACATTTTACAGGGCACCCTCCACTACGTGTGTCCAAAACTTGTGTCGCATCTCGCAGAGCTGGTGACCTTTCCTTATGAGATCTCATCACAGAGCAGAGGGATGGCACAGACTGTCACCTCAAACTGCCCATGCATGATGTAGAGCACCTTTTGGTAATTATTAGCTTCAAGTGACCCCAAAGCCTTAGCACTGACCATCAGGAATACCTACATCACGCTGGTCCCCACATCCAGAAAAGGGCAGCTCCCTACCTTGGAGAGAAAAGATTCTGCTCACTGATGGCACCTGCTTGGGAAGAAAGGTGCCTCTGTGTGGAGTGGCCCCGTGCTGGAGCAGCACCTGTTCTGCCCTCTGGGACAAGTGTCAGTCTTTTTTTTTTTTTTTTTTTAATTTTTTTTACATTTATATATTTTTGAGAGATAGAGTGAGACAGAGCACAAGAGAGGAGGGTCAGAGAGAGAAGGAGACACAGAATCTGAAGCAGGCTCCAGGCTCTGAGCTGGTTGTCAGTACAGAGCCCAACGCGGGGCTCGAACCCATGAACCGTGAGATCATCACCTGAGCTGAAGTCGGACGCTCAACCAACTGAGCCACCCAGGCGCCCCCAAGTGTCAGTCTTCTAAGCCCTCGTACAAAACGGCACTTACTGGACCAACACTTTCTAGTTCCTCAAGACATCATCATACTCTGCTCTCTAGATATTTCCCAATGTAAATCTCCTCCTGTCCACTCAAGGGCAGCACTGGGCTGCTCTTCTGGTTTCTTATTTCCCACTGAGCTCAGTGCACAGGCTTGGTAATTAGCGGGATCTCAAGAAAGAGATGCCTATGCATTTAAATCTCTCTCCCTTTCTTCCAAAAAGGATCAGAGGCTGCTTAAAAAGTGCATGATATAGTACAACAAAAACAGATGAAAATACCTTCCTGAAGGGAAAACAGGAAAGGAAGAGTAAATGAAACCAAGGTCAAGGGCATGTGACAAAAAAGGTGAGATTGCAAAGTTGCTAAAGGCAGTTACAGATTCAGTTCTGGGTTGTCTTGGGACTAAAGGAAAAAAAAGAAAAAAATTGTGGTCCATAATGAAATTCAACATGTACAACAGATGAAAGAAAAAACCAAAAACAAAAATCCACCACTTGCTCAAGAGCAGCTCAGCTTCTGCTGGGTACCATAGGATAATTTCTTAAGCATAAATTCCACAAGTGGGATTTCTAAATTAAAGGTTTTGTAGATTTTTAAAGGCCTCTGATGTATATTGCCAACTGCTCTCCTGAAAGGTGGTGTTGATTTACATTTCTACTAGCAGTCTACTCTCTTCCCTACACTGGGGCTTATCTTTTGGCGGAGATGGTGGGGGTGGTGGGAGTTCTTTGCAAATGAGATAGATACAAATTCAATGTTTTCATCTGTAAATCATGGAAGTAAAGTACGCTGAACATTTTCCATGTCATGAAAATGATATGATTATGTCATACCAATGTACTAGATGAACTGCCTACCTCCTATCTTATACATTCTTTTGACTAAATCCTCTCTTTTTGCATTGGTGTCTAAGGAGAGCTTTTTTTCTTAGGAAAGATACTGGTTATTTGCCATACATGTTATTAATACTGTTGGTTGCCTTTGTTTAAGTTTTTTGACATCCAAAAGTTATTTTTTTATTGTAAAATGTAATTTCCTCCTTCTTTTCCCTCCAAGTTAATCAGTGAAATGCTTATTAAGTGCCTACTCTATGCCCAACACTGAAATCTCCCAATTTTACTGAGAAAAGAGAGGATAAATGGGGGCCCTGGGTGGCTCAGTTGGTTAAGCATCTGACTCTTGATCTCAGTCCAGGTCATGGGCTCACAATTCATGATTTCAAGACCCACTTTGGACTCTGCACTGACACAGCAGAGCCTGCTTGGGATCCTCTCTCTCCCTCTCTCTCTCTCTCTCTGCCGCTCCCCTGCTTGTGCTCTCTCTCTCTCTCAAATAAACTTTAAAAAGAGAGATAAAGGATAAGTAACTAGCTCAAGGTCACTCAGCAGTAGGACATAGGGATGGGACTGGGCTGTTGGTGGCCTAGACTAGAGTGGTGGTATCAGTGAGGGTAGAATAAGACAAGAAAGGGAAACAATGTCCCAGGCAAAGATCCAAGAGGCCCCAAGCTTGGCAGAGGTAAGACAGTTGACCTTCTTCTTGGTCTCTATGTGTAAGATGCCTCCCCAGTCATCAGTGAGGGCATGCTCCAAGGCCCAACCATGTCACACAGTCACATCTTGTGTGACTCATTTGTGTGTGAATACATACGTGCACACAGACATGTACAAGAGCTGACAGAAAGGGACAGGAGAAGCCAGGACACGACTGAAGGAGTTAGAGCAAGACTTACGTCAAAGACACCTGCTGGTGAGGGAAGAGAAAAGACTCAGGAATGTCCCAATATTGCTGTAAGGACCAAGAAGAGAAATCCGTGGTCCTCAGAGGAAGCAGGGCACAGCCGCGCATAGACACGGGCCCTGAAGGGCAGCAAGATGTAGGTAACGCTAAGGAAAGGCCTGGAACTAGCCAGCCTACCAATGGGTCTCACCTGGAGCCCCTCCAAGAGCTTCTAGTCACAGCCTAGGAACTAAGGCTGAGTAATATTCACACTGGCTGGTTGCACTTGTTTCCCACTGTACAGTGACAATAGGATCGTTGCATCTCCTTTCAGTAATACGCAGAGTTACCTTTAGGGTGAAGATCTGAATCCTAGGAGCAAGAAGGTGTTTTCATTCATTCATTTTTAAATTTTTATTTTTGAGAGAGAGAGAGAGAGAGAGAGAGAGAGTGAGTGGGAGAGGGCAGAGAGAGAGGGAGACACAGAATCTGAAGCAGGTCCCAGGGTCTGAGCTGTCAGCACAGAGCCTGACGTGGGGCTTGAACCCATGAACCTTGAGATCATGATCTGAGCTAAAGTCGGGTGCTTAACCAACTGAGCCACCCAAGCGCCCCGGGACTGTGTCCATTTTTACTAAAGATTGTATCTCCCATGTCTGGAAGAACACAATACCTTCTAGTCAGCCCTCAGTAAATACTGGAACAAATGAATGAATGAATGGGGAGGCCTGAAGTTTTACTTATCATCACAAAGTGGCAATTTAACGCTCTGGTCAGTCCCACTGGCCAAAGGTCGTTCCTGACACTCATCTCAACAGATAATGCTCCTATGCCGAGGCACTCATGTTTTAAGTCTCTGTGCAAACACAGTGCGGGAAGGAAAAAGTCTGTGGCATCTTCTTTAAGTTACTCAACTTGGTACCTTCTGGACCAGTAAGCAACGTTATTATCACTAGGCTTTTGTTTGCAAAGGGAGCTGCTTTCATCTTTTTTTTTTTTTTTCATCTTTTTTTTATTACTAGAAGACACGAGCCTCCTCGGGATGCCTGAGTGGCTCAGTCGGTTGAGCATCCAACTTTTGATTTCAGCTCAGGTCATGATCACATGGTTGTGGGATCGAGCCCCATGTTGGGCTCCACGTTGATAGCTCAAAGCCTGCTTGGGATTCTCTCCTTCTCTCTCTCTCTCTGTCTCTCCCCTGCTTGTGCATGTGCGCGTGCTCTCTCTCTCTCAAAATAAAAATAAATAAAAATAAATGTGCAAGTGTGGTCCCTGGGCCACCAGCAGCAGTGTCACCTGGGGGCTTGCTAGAAATCAGGATCTCAGCCCCACCCCAGCCAGACCCAGGGAATCTGAATCTGCATTTTCACAAGATTCCTAGAGGACTCATACACATATGAAATGCAGAAGCACCGGCTTAAAATCAAATATTAATTTTTTGGAAACTTTAGCTCCAAACAGAGCTATATGCTTACTCTAAATGGTGAAGAAAAAGCTTAAAAAGAACTTGATGAGTTCTCCCAGAAGCTGTGGAATTTGTGGCTAAATTTTGATTTAGGCTTTTTTTTTTTTTTTTAAACTCCCTCTAACGCAAGCAGCACGGAGATCTCAGATATTAGCTGTGTCTGTGTGGGGCTAATCAGGATCTGTTAGAACTGCTTCAAGGAAATGAGTTTAATTCTTCTCTTACAAGTGAGATGTAATTGACATATAAGAATGGATTTATTTCTTAACAGGCCAGCTAAGTGCTTTACCAAGAGAAAACTGGGTGGGTGAAGGCTGGGAAGGAGGTTTCACATAACAGAGAATAAAAACACAGTTTGTCTCACTTAATAACACAGTTTGTCTCATGGTGTTCTGGAAAACACCATGATGAGTACTTTGAGTCCCATTTTTCAACACTGGACAGGGATTTTCTCACCGAGAAGGTACTTGCCACTCAGCCCTCACTATTGTGCCTCAGGAACCGTGAAGTGCTTTACATACGTCATCCTACTAATGCTCCTAGCAATTATTTGTGGTGGGGATTTACCATGCCCATTTTGCAGATGAGGAAACTGAGGCTCTGAGAGTCTGACTGATGGAACCAAAGATCACTCTTAGGTCTGTTTCACAGTAGAGCCCTCAGGTTAGGGGTTTTGGCCAAGTTATTTGGGAGCGTGAGCTCCATGGCCCAACTGCATGAGAACCCGCTAGGTCACGGGGTGGGAAGTAGCTGTTTGACCTGGACTAGTCCTTTTTTTTTTTTAAATGCCTTTAATGAAGTGTAATTTACATACTGCAGAATTCACGGCATGTCATTTCTGAGACGGTAAGGGACGTGAACATATATGGAAATAAAGCTGTCCTTTCCCCTCTACAAGAAAAGCCAAAGAGGTGGTGAGCCCAGATGAGCAGGTCTCCAGGGACCCCCGGGAGTCAGGAACGCCTACCTTGTATTCCGTACAGCCGGTTGAGGCGTGACCGCCGGGCCTCGTCGGTGTAGGGGACAGCAAGCCAGGGCATCTCACTGAAGTACTGTTTGAACGAGTCCTCTGACCTAGAGGCACACGTGGAAACAAGGCTCTGTGCTCCCCGAAAGCACCACCGTAGGGTCCCCCCCGTCCACCAAGTTACGCCCAGGGCTCTGCAGACACCAGCGCCTCTGAACATGGCACCCCTCAAACACCGGGCTACAGGGGGGCATTATCCTACCCCTTCTGGTGACCACGCAGCAACAGCCTCCACACGACGGGTGGATGGGGACGGAGCCGCCAGGCCTTTTCAAGTGGCCTGTTCCCGTGGATCCTACCAGCTGAACTCGCGCCCAGGTTTCTATTTCCAACACGGGCAGGTGGTAGTTTTGTAAGCAGCCTACAGGTACAGCAACGTTGCGCCCCCCAAACTTCTCATTTGTGCACGTAACAGTCTTGGGTAAAGGAGCACAGTTTTAACTGAGCACAGACCTGTGGCTCTGTATGAACAACTCTAGGAATGACAGGGGACGCCTCGGTGGCTCAGTCAGTTAAGCGTCCGACTTCAGCTCAGGTTATGATCTCACAGTTTGTGGGTTCCAGCCCCGCGTCAGGCTCTGTGCTGACAGCTCAGAGCATGGAGCCTGTTTCAGATTCTTGTCTCCCTGTCTCTCTGACCCTCTCCTGTTCATGCTGTCTCTCTCTCTCTCTCTCAGAAATAAATAAAACATTAAAAAAAAAAACAAAACCTCTAGGAATGATGGATCTAACCAAAGCGATACAAAGCAGATTGGGGGGCCCTGGGGCTGGGGGCTGAGGGTGAGCACTGACCAAAAAGGGGCACGAGGGCACCTTGTGAATGATGGAAACATTCTCTGCTTCACGGTGACAATCACAGGGGTGCACACATGGCTCGATATTCACTGAATCGTACGCCCAAAACGTATGCATTTTATGGCATGTGAATTACACTTCAATAAAGTTGATGTTTTTTAAAGCTTGAAAAGAAGTGATGACTGGGACACCTGGGGGGCTCAGTTGGTTAAGTGTCCGACTTCGGCTCAGGTCATGATCTCACGGCTCATGAGTTCAAGCCCCACGGCGGGCTCTGTGCTGACAGCTTGGAGCCTGGAGCCTGCTTCAGATTCTGTGTCTCCCTCTCTTTGCCCTTCTTCCCGTGCTCACTCTCAAAAATAAATCAACATTAAAAAAAATTTTTTAAAAAGAATAAAAAAGTGATGATTGCTTATCCCCAGTCACACACAGAGATGGGGAGCTGGGGAGCAGGGCAGGAGTATGGGACAATATACCGAGCACGGTACTGCGCACATAGCAGAAACACAAAATGTTGGGACGCCTGGGTGGCTCAGTTGGTTAAGAGTCTGACTCTTGATTTTGGCTCAGGTCATGATCTCAAAGTTCATGGGTTCGAACCCCACATCCGGCTCTGTGCTGGTGGTGCAGAGCCTGCTTGGGATTCTCCTTCTCCCCCCTTCTCTCTCTCTGCCCCTCCCTTGAGCTCACTCTCTCTCAAAATAAATAAATAAACTTAAAAAAATTTTTTTAAAAAGATACAAAAGGTCCTCAGTGTGTTGGCATCTCAGAGACCCTTCTGTGAACAGGGACTCGGGAAGCAGAAGCAGCTAGTGGCTCAGTCCAAACCAGAGCCGGAGTTTTGTGATGAAGGAAGGTCACTGATGAATAAAACCAGCGAGAGGGCCTGCAGCGGAGGACACTGAGGCGGGAAGTACCCGACGTACCCCAGGACGAACGTCCGTCCTTCTGGTGTTTAGGAGAGCCCCCAGGCAAAGTACGGGGCGCGAGTGAAAAAAAAATTCCTGCCCAGCCATCCCAGATAGGTGTCGTGTTCCATTAGCCTCTGGTTCTTTTCTTTCCATCCCTCCCCCTCCACGCCTTTCATCACAATCCACAAAGCTGAAAGAATCAAAAACTGCATCCTAACCTCAAATGAACCAGGCCGGAAGCAGGGCGTGCCCCAATATTGACAGCAAGAACAGGTTTTTCTCGGCTCCCTCTCAAACAGTTGCATGAGAAAATTTGAAATGCATCTGTCCGTCTGCCAATCACCCCCGATGTGCCTGCCCCAATCCCCATCTCCACGCTCTACACTTAGGAGGCGAGAAGTGGAAGGCAAAAGAAATGCACGTTAACCACCTCCAGGGAAGGGAGCCGCTCGGCCCTTTCCCCGCACCCGTTACCTGTCTGCACTGACGAAGATGATCTCAAACTTCTGGCCTGCCTCCTTGATCTTCCGGTAGGATTCCACCAGGACCCGGGTGAGGCTTCGGCAGGGGGGACACTGCAAGAGGAGAGTGGGGTCCTGCGCCTTGACCCTGGACCTTCGTCTTCCCGTTTCCCGGCCACATACCCGCAGAGGGCGGGTAAGCAAGACCCAAGGAGGAGTGGGATAGCAAGACCCAGCTCATTAAAGGGCAGAAACAAACATGCCTCTTGTAACCGAGCCTCCCGCACAGGTCCCTCCGGCCCACACGCACGCCAGCAGGCAGCAGTTCAAACCAACCCCCTTGGAGACCAGCAGACGCCTCATGAGAATGGGTGAGAAAGGCCACCCTTTCAGACCAGTCAAAGGAAGTAATCTTCTTGCTGCTACTATCATTCAAAATAAGAAGTGCTCAGGGCACGCAAGCCACCCGTCAGGTGCAGGAGGAAGCAAGAACCTGCAAGTGATACCCGAGCAGTCACACCCCCAAAGCCAACACCCCTGGTCTCAGGGGCAACATCACCGCTTCATTCCTGCTTAGTCTGGACTAAGGGGACTAAACTTAGGCACCGAACACTCACCCAGTGTGCGGAGAAATAGACTCCCACGTGAGACCCCTCCAGGCTGCCGCTCTCCTGGGACTGTCCGTTATTTCTAAGCAAGGGCCCCGCAATGACTTCCCTGAAGGGCTTGGGTCCCCAAGGGAATTCCAAACCTGAAAGAGGCAACAGGTGGTTAAGAACGTGAAGACTCTTCCTTTCAGCCTCTGGCCTGAGAGCCCCCACAGCGGCAGGGCATGACAGCTCCATCATCAAATAGTATCTGTCAACACACGCTTAGGATCTGGAGCTAAAACACAGGATCAAAGGCAGAACCTTCTCCATGGCAGAGCCCCACCTGCCTTCAAGACAACGGTTCTGGAACCTGGGTGATCGATCACAGGACCCAGCTCCTGGGGAGCCCAGGTCACACTATGAGTCTTGGGATCCGGGGCCAAGGCTGAAGATGTATGTCCAAAACAGAGCAAGACACACTCCCCAGGTAAGTCTGATGATGGGTCAGGATGGGGAGTCATTGCCTTATGTCTTAACCTTGAGTTTTGTCAAGTACCAACCCCAGGATCGCAGTGGCTCTCCGCTCTGATGCGTTTTTAGAATCAGCTGGAGAATTTTAAAATATGATGCTCCAGGGGCCCACCCCCAGACATTCTGATTCAGTCGGGCTGGGTTGGGGCCCAGGGAACCAAGTGAGAATTAAATCCAGTAAAAGGAAAGAGTAAAACTCACTCAGCCCAGATGTTCTCCATTCTGATGACACTTAAGCCCCAGGCAGGAAGAGCAACAGCACAGTGCTTTCTCACAGGGTGGTCTGTGGACCACTGCCTCAAAAGTCGCCTGGGGTTGGGGGAGGGGAGAACGGGAGACACGCAGACTGGGACTAAACGTGCGAATGGCCAAGCCCACCCTGAAACAAACGGACCCAAATATCTCTGGGGGTGGGGCTGGGAAATCTGCATTTTTAACAAGCTCAGAGTAGAGAGAGAGAGAGAGAGAGAGAGAGAGAGAGAGAGAGTGCGCGCGCACGAAATCTGCATTTTTAACAAGCTCAAAATGTGGGGGGGGGGGGGCGTGCTCGCGCACGTGTGCTGCCAAGGGCCATTCTTTGAAGCAGGTGAAATTTTTACCAGGAACATTTGTGACCAGGATTGAATCCCCTAACTGATCAGTAAGCAAGGAAGGGAAGACCTTAGGATGCTTTTAAGACTCCAGGGCCAGTGAGACAGAAACAGACTCGGAGAGCCAGTGATCAGGGTGGTTAGGGCAGCCGACACCTGGCACATTACCAAGGCCACGGCTGCGGGACTTGGGCAGCACCAAGAAGTGAGGTCAGTCACCCTTGAGGCCAGGAGAGCAACACCAAGTCTATGACTTCACTAGGGTAATATTTTAAAAAGAAAAAAGCCTCACGACCACTGAGGCTACCATGGAATCATCACCAGAAGTCCATCTCTGGGCTCTCGCTGCTTCTCAACGGCCTCCTCAGCCCTCAAGACTGAACTTCCTTTTTCAGAGTCCATCTCCTTTGGCCCATGAATGAGAGCCTCCAGGAGGGACATTCTGATCCCTTTAAAAATCTTAACCCCGACCTGTAGAATACTGTAATTTCATCACGACAATATCCTCTAGCCAAACAAACACCCTCATGTATATTTCGCTTGTATGTTCTCTACCAGCGGGGATGAAGTCAGGGTAGGGGGACAGGGCAGGGAGTATGGGATGGACACGCCAAGCTCCTACCTTCTGGGTCATCACGGATCACCAGCAGCCCATTCCTGCACACGACCTTCCCGGTGGTGGCGTCTAGGAATATTAGTGATGGAATGTTGGAAATTCGGTATTTGTTCCAAAGTTTAAGCTGGAAGAAGTAAAGCGAAAAAGGTGGGTAAGTCCAAGCAGGATAAATCACAGAGTCCTTTTGAGCCCCATCAGGCCTAAGGGGTGAAAGAAGCAGAAGACACTGCAGTACAGGGAAATGAACACGTGAGGCTACAATCCCGTTGGCCTCCGTGGTCTGTGACGCGGCAGGGGAGTCTGAGTCCCACCCAGGCTCAAGCTGCGAAAGAGGCCGACAGAAGGCCACACCTGTTCCAAGACAACTCTCCTCTCCCAACTCTCCCATGGGCACTTCCTCTAAAAGGCACACAGATGAGGGGCACCTGGGTGGCTCAGGTGATTAAGCGTCCAACTCTTGATTTCGGCTCAGGTCATGATCTCGTGTTTTTTGAGTTCGAGCCCGGCATCGGGCTCTGCACTGATAGTGCGGAGCCTTCTTGAGATTCTCTCTATGTCCTTCCCCTGTTCTCTCTGTCTCTCTCTCAAAAGAAATACATAAACAATAAATAGCATAAAGATGAAGATGGATTAGGAAATGAACTACATGTGCGTCCCCAACACCAGGTGGTTAAGGCAGGAAGGGAGGCTTTCTACTGGTGCCTCTGAACCCCATCAGCAGGCAGGTGCTCCCCTGCTTCCCGGCTCTACTGTGCCCCCCGGAGCTCCAAGGGAGAGGGGACAACGGTATCCTAAGCGAAGACCAAGTAGTAGAATCCAGCACTCTCCCCACCTCAGGGGGTTCCCGCACTTGGGAGTACCGGCTGTCACTGTGGGTGTCACTCACCCACAAACACTAGGGAAGCAACATCCTGGGTCGGCTCCAATCCTCAGCTCTCGGTGCCACTCAAAACAACGCACAGTCTACTGGCAGGTTCTTGAACTTGGCTCAGCCAGCTGTCAGAGGACCAGGGTCTAGGAGGCGCAAAGCTGACGGAGCATGGATGCACCAGCCCGGGGCAGGGAACTGAGGATGTGCAGCCTCCTTTACCGGCTCCCCGCCATCAGGTGGCCCACCGGGTGCTCTGGAACTTAACTGCCAAGCCCAGAAAGCAACATAATTAAACAAAAATGTCCAACTGCCAACGGGAAATGGAAGAATGGCCCACTGGTGATTCAGTTGCAGCCTCCCTTCCGGGGGCCTGCGGCCCCACACGGGAGGGCCAGCTGCCTGGGCATTGGCGGAACGGGGCACGGATGTGTCAAGGGGAAGCAGGCATCAGAAGTCCAGCTGCACAGAGCAGATTATTATTGTTTTTAATTCAATCCCAAGCAGCGAGGGAGTCGGGCGGGGTATCTGCTAAGAACTGCTAGGCTTCCCCTGTCTGTGGAGACCTGGATCTTGGCAGGAAAGGTCGTGGGACCCCACCTTTCCTGTGGGCCCCCAAACCAGCCCTGCGAACAGGAGCGACTCTGCACACACAGTCGGCAGTGACCAGTACTGCATCATTCCAGAGACACCTGCTACGGGCTTCAGATCAAACATTTTTAGGGGAAGATGCTCAACAGCAGAGCAAGACCAGCCCTGCTGGGATTCACTTCCTAAATTTGCAAGCACACAAGCCACCAGAATGAGGAGTTGCAAGGATCCAGCCAAGTTAATAATTTTAAAGGGGGGCAGGAAGGAAGATGCAGGGATTTTTCTGATTTAAAGAGTAATTGATGGGGGAAAAGCAATTAATGGAAAAAATGAGAAACACAGCAAACCATAAAAACTGAGATAAAAATCACCCATGACTCACCACTTACAAAAGCTCGGACAACTTTGTATTTCCACCAGTGGCAAACAAGACAGCCCATTCCTCGGTATTCTTACTAATATTAGTTGGTTTTTTTCTTTTTAATTTTTCTTCTCAATGTCTAGTTTTGAGAGAGAGAGGGAGACACAGAATCTGAAGTAGGCTCCAGGCTCTGAGCTGTCAGCACAGAGCCCAATGTGGGGCTCGAACCCATGAATTGTGAGGTCATGATTTAAGCTGAAGTCAGATGCCCAACCAACTGAGCCACCCAGGCTCTTTTTTTAAAGTAGGCTTCACACCCAGTGTGGAGCCCAAAGCAGGGCTTGAACTCACAACCCCGAGATCAAGACCTGAGCTGAGGTCAAGAGTCAAAGGCCTAACAAACTGAGCCACCCAGTTGACCCCTAATATTAGTTTTTTTTTTTATTAATTTTTTAAAATTTTGATGCTTATCTTTTAGTTATTGAAGTTTAGGCATTACACATCTCCCTATTATAAATACACAATTTCTTCCCAGTGTGTTTTGCAACTGGTAAGTGCTAAAATTCATTCATCAGATATTAACTGACAATCTACTATGTGCTAGCCCTAGTCGAGGCACAAAAGATTCAAGAAAGAACAAGGCAGAGGAAGTTGCTGCCTTCAGAGAGACAGACAATAAACAAGAATATAAAAGTAATTTCAGAGACTTCTAAGTAATAAAAGAGAAAAGAACAGGGTAAGAGCAAAGGCATGCCAGGGGAGAGTGGTACATATCTTAAATTAAAAAAAAATTTTTTCTTAAGTTTAGTTATTGGGGGAAGGGAGCGGGGGAGGGAGGGAGGGAGGGGGAGAGAGAGAGAATATCCTAAGCAGGCTCCACACTGTCAGCAGAGAGCCTGATACAAGGTTCAAATCCACGAACCATGAGATCATGACCTGAGCCAAAGTGGGAGGCTTAGCCACCTGAGCCATCCAGGCGCCCCCTCTGGTACCTATTGTAGCGAGTGCTCAGGGAAGGCATCTTTGAAGAAATGGCATTAGAGGACACACCCTTGACATGAGATGGAGCGAGTCACCTGTGCATGGGGAGAGGCCGCCTGAGGCCCAGGGCACCTGTTAGAGGCTGAGAGGCAGACCAGGAAGAAGGCTGGGGTTGACGCGGCCAGATAGAGTCAGGGAGGGGGTTACGATGAGGTCAGAAGGGCGCTCTTGGCAGATCTTTAAGGCCCTGTAGACTAGTAAAAATGATGGAATTTTATTCTAAGTGTAACAGGAAACTACAGAGCATTAGCAGGGGAGTGGTAAGATCTGATTTACACTTTAAAAGGTCACTTTGGCAGCCCTGGGGGAACAGACTGCAGGGGAATACATGGGGAAGGCAGAGTCTGGAGAGGCCAGTGCAAACAGCCCAGGCAGAAGCTGAGAGCCACGGGGAGGACCTGGGTTACAGAGCCGAGGGTGGGGACATGATGGATTTGTGAGACAGTCAATAGAGTAGGTTGACAGACTGCATATGGGGAAGGCATAAGGGAAAGAAAAAGATCAATGTACTGCGGTTTTGGGGTTTGAGCAAAAGTGTGTCAAGGGGTCGTATGAACCAAGATGGCGGAAAAATAGAGGAGAAAGTTTGGGAGGGAAAGATCGAGATCAGAGAGGTCAATCTGAGGTGCCCGTTAGATGTACAAGTGGAGACTTCAAGGAGGTCCCTGGACTAGGCTCTGGGGAGCTGGGGGCACGAACTATAAGTCAGGGGTTGTAGCTGCCTGGATGCCGTGAGAGGTCATGAGCCTGCATGAGGTTATCCAAGGAGAGGACACTCTACAGAGGAAAAGGCACCCCAGGGCAGAGCCAGGGACCACTGGCAAAAGACTGACCAGGAGTGACATGTGACATAGAAGGAAAACGAGGAGACTCTGGTGTCCCAAAAGGCAGTGGCAAAAGTGTTTGGGGGAGAGAGTACACCTGTGTCAAATGCTGCTGACACACTGAGTATGATGAGGGCAGAGAACTGACCAGCTGATGCGGCAACTAAGGTTATTCACGACCTTGACAGGTCAAGGAGTCATCAGTGAAGCGAGGATGAAAAAGCGAGTGGAAGAGGGAGGGAATGGGGTGCAGCTCTGTCCGGCACACACACCTCGAGGGGGCCTGGGACCAGACAAACTCGAGCCGCTTCCCAAAGGAAACAGCTAGCAGGAACAAAAAAAAAAAAAAGTAAAGGCCATCAAGAGAAAAAGAAAATGACAGATAAGGCGCTAAGGTAGTGACTGCAGATAACTTTAAGAGTTTTGCTGTAAAGGAAGCTGAGAACAGGACTGTAGCTGGAAAAAGACATGATAAGGTCAGAGAGAGAGAGGATATTCTAAAGATGAAGTCAGGGGGCAGTATTTTAAAGATGGGAGATGCTTTAATATATGCTGTTGGGGATAATCCAGAAGAGGAAAAAATTGATGAGAAGGAAAAATGCAAGAACAGAGTCCTTGAATAGGCCAGAGGGTGGCCTGAATAGAAACCCATGCTATTTGCAATTAAAGATAACTATCTTCTTTTTCAACAATTACATCATTTATTTCCTTTTCTTATAGAATTGTACTGGCTGGAATTTCCAGAACAATAGTAAGTAGCAATCATCTTTAACTTCCACCTGATCATAATGGGTATACCTTTCACTATCATAGATAATGCTACCCGTTGGTGTGAGACGGATACTCCTGAGCATGTTAAACAAAATAGTCTTGAATGATATTCAGCCTTAAAGGAATGAAATTTTGGGGCGCCTGGGTGGCTCAGTCAGTTGAGCATTCATCTCTTGATTTCTGATCAGGTCATGGTGTCTCGGGTTGGGAGTTCGAGACCCTCATCGGGCTCTGTGTTGACAGTGCAGAACCTGCTTGGGATTCTCTCTTTCTCTCTGCCCTCCAAGGTGTTTGCTTTCTCCTCCCTCCTCTCAAAATACATAAATAAACCTTAAAAAAATCTTTAAAAAAATAAAAATTGAATTAAAAATAAAGAAAGGAAATTCAGACACATGCTACTACGTGTATGAACCTTGGGGACATCATGCTAAATGAAAGAAGGCAGTCACAAAAAGACAAATATTGTGTGTTTCCATTTAAAAATTTTTTTTTAACATTTATTTATTTTTGAGAGACAGAGAGACAGAGTATGAGCTGGGGAGGGGCAGAGAGAGAGGGAGACACAGAATCTAAAGAAGGCTCCAGGCCCTGAGCTGTCAGCACAGAGCCCGATGTGGGGCTTGAACCCACAAACCATGAGATCATGACCTGAGCTGAAATAGGATGCT